TGACTCATGCACCAAACCCCAAACACAGATTCTTCCCCTCTTTTAATAGAAGTCACAAAAATACTCAATATTTACATCATTTACAAACTTTTTAACTCCTCCCACATATTTGACAAATAATTTTGTATTTTATATAGTTTAATATATTTTTATTAATATTTCATTTGAAAATATTAATGAATGAGGTACAAGTATTGTTACATGGACACTTTGTACAATGCTTAAATCAAAACTTTGATGTGCCAGTTGCCAGAAAAGTGTTCATTGTACCCAATAGATAAGATATTATTCCACATTTTCCACTTGCCCCCTGCCTTTCTAGGTTTCCAGTGTCCTTTTTATCTCCTTGTGCCTGTGAGCACTCATTGTTTATGGTGTTAGGTTTTCCATGCCAGAGAGAGTTCACTCAGGATAATGGCTCTATATTTATATAATTATTTTCAGAATTAGATTGGATATAATTGATGCATGAACTGGCCATATCATCTGTTAACCTAGAGGAATTTTCTCTAGTGGTATTTGTTTAATATGACTTCAAATTTATTCCTATTGTTAAAAATTATCTCATGAGTATTTTAGAAAACATCCATAAAATTATCTGATGCTACCAAACATCCCTAGGTATTTTCCTCATAAATTTTACAACCTGATGATTCCCAGTGTTTCATTTTAGAATTAGGAATGGATTCCATGCATCAATGTTGAGATCTTTACATTTCTCTATGGATATGTCTTACTGTTTTATGATGCACTTTCAGAAAAATTTTAGTCAAATTAGCCTTTTTAGCATGGCAGTCTGCTCAAAGAGAAAAATATCAGATTTTTTTATTTAATAAGAATTGATGTGATATCATTATATCTAAGGTGTTCTGTAAGATCTGAAGATGTTTTGCTTAACTTATCCTAGGAAGTAATTTTGATGAGGCGAAGAGAGAATATTTTAGCTCTTGCATCAAGATAAAAGCTATAATAAGCAAAGCATCTTTGATATGTGCCATATTGAATTATTGGCCATAAAATATAACCTACATGTTCATCTATATAAAATAAAACTATATGATTAGTAAGGAAGATTTATTCTGAAGTATTATAGCTCCAAATGTTGTATCTATAATCATGGAGTCTTTGCTAATGCCTATTTTGGAATCATCTTTAATTATTGTTTAATTTCTTGAGATATTCATTGTGTGTATATTAATGTCAAGATCAATTCTAATTTAATTGTGGGGACAAAAAGACAATCCCTGAACTTCTATTTGTAGCTCTTCTGAAGGACATTTTCCATGGCAGTCCCATTTATACACTAAATCACCATTAAACTTACAGGAGTTGTGTCACAGATAATAAAGGAGTATTTTGCTAACAATTGTTCCAATTGACTAGAGTTTACGAAAGATCTCAGTATTGGTAAACATTAATACTTCTCAAGTGATTGTAGTACTGTGATCTGATAATAATCTAGTATTTGTCAGATATAACAGCATCCAAGTTAATAAGAAAGCTTCATTTTAAACATCTATATTTATGGAAAATTTTCTTTGAGGGTGTAGAGGAAGAATAGAAAGTTGGTAGAAGCAAAATTTTCTCACTAAGTGACAGGATTTAATAAAATTTTTATCATCTCTCCTCCTATTCCTTAATTAATAGTAAATGTTAGTTTTTTCAAAAACCTTTCTGCTTATAATCTCTCTTGATGTACATAGTTAGAAGTTTCCAATTCTTGAAAAATAGTGGACAAATTGATCTTGTTTTCCTCTTAGGGAACAGTAATTTTATCCAAAGGGTCATAAGTTTGTTTTGGTTTTCATAATTTTTTATCTTCTAGCTCTCATTGAAAATGTTTAGCTAATTGACGAAGATCTTCTCACCTAGCAATTACCAATTCTAATTTAAAATTTTAACTGAGTCTCCTTTTCAGATCTGAACTCATTTACAAAAATAGAGAAGAATACTATCTTTACTCTGATATTGAGTCTACTTTAGAACATTGTTAGAAACATTCCTGGATTCTATGTTTGATATAGTCTATTAACTAATCCTTTTCCCCTAAATTTTGAATCTTTTTACAATGTACTCTTAATGAAAAGACTCCTGAAATAGTCTATGTATTTAATTTACTACATTTTTGCTGTCTCTCAAGGCCAACCACTATTTGTTTAAAACCCTTAAAATAATAACAATGACCAAAAAAAAAAAAAAAAAAAAAAACAAAAAGACAGCTCAATGAAATAATTCAGAGCTGAGATTACTTTTGAAACAAATTTAGTGTCTTTAAGAACAATTGAGTTTGGCCAAGGTGCCTAGTAATCATGCTTGTATGTCCAAAATTCTCCTAAAATGCTTCCAAGTAATAGTCTTCAGAACAATCTCGATTGAAACTCCAATTATTAAAGAAAAATGATACCATTCATGAGCAGAAACAAAACCAAAGTTTATTGCTTGCCAAAGATGGAAGTCTTGTGTTATAGGACACTATCTGAACAAAGCACACTGTTGGTCTTATATAGGGTGGTAAGAAGTGTGGAGTTCAAATATTGGCAGCCCATCAGGAGATGGGATGCCACTGATTGGTAGATGTCTTGTGTCACATTTACTTATGGACAGTTGTCATAGATTATGGTGTGTTTTAAACTAGTCTCAGTAGTTACAAATTGCTATGATTAAAGAATAAGCTATCTTATTTCTAAGGAGAGCAAAAAATACCTGTGGATTCTAAGACTGTTGAGTGAATCAGAGATAACACTATATTGGTCAATATAATTGTATAATTATTTTTATTACTGGTGCTAATTATGATTTGCCTTTTATACTGAGTTTAATCAGCCGTAACAATAGTGGTTAAGTCCTTCATTTATTTGCATGACTTTTTGGGATAAATGACAAAGACTTTTCACGGGGGTCCAGTAAAATTTTGACTTGATATTATATGAAAAAACTAAGGATTAATGGTAATGTGTGTGTGTGTGTGTGTGTGTGTGTGTGTAATTTATATATATATTCATGTTCTGAACATTGTAAAAAACTACTGTGATTTACATTATATAATGTAAGACCAGAAATTGTCTTGATTATTTTTGCCCAGGAGTTTGCAGGACATCTCCCTTAGTTATATCCTACCTAAGAGGAGGCAATTAAAACCCTATCCCTATTCAGTACACTCCTATCTAAGAAACCTAAGCTGGTAATTCACCCCACCATTAAAACACAACTCTCTATTTGTTCTCCATCTCAACAACATGCATTATCCTTCACATAGATGCTCAGGCCAAAAACTCTTGACACAAAAATTCCTCCATTTGTTTATATCTCCAAACATATGCAAGTCCTGATGGCTCTGCTTTCAAATTATACTCATAGCTTTTATCACTGCCATCCTCCCTTGCTTGGTAATTGGAATAGTTTCCTGTTTCTCACTTCCTACGTATTTCCTATCTCCCATTCTGTTCTCATTCAGCATTCAGATTGATTTTTTAAACATATACTCCCTTTCTCAAATCCCCAGTGGTTTCCTAGATTTTCCACTTAGAATAACATTGAAAGGCATTTGGCTACATTTTTACCTTCAGCTTCTCCTACTCCCTCATGCTGTGATTCATCCCAACCATCTAAACTATGAACACATATCCTTTACACTTGCTATTTTCTTAGGAATATCCATTTCCATTTATATGGCTTATTCTTGTTTTATTCATGTTCTTTTTTCAAAACCTTTTATCATAAGAGATTCATCCTTACCACATTCTTATTCCCTCATCTTGCTTTCTTTAGGGAAAGCACATTTTACCACATTACATCTTACATTTTTTGTCTATAGGTTTGTTTATTACTTATGTGCCTCACTGAAGAAAGGTTTGTCTTCTCCTTTGTCATTGCCAAATTGCCAGCATCAATGAAAATTTTTGACATGTAGTAACTTTAATAATGCATCACATGAACTAAAATAGGCAATGATCACAAAATAGCCTGTCCTAGAACTTGCAGTGGGAGAGTGGGAGTTGAGATTACATATGTGTTGTCCCTTAATTCTGCCACAACACTTCTTTAATAGAACTCTAGCTCTCTATTTCACATGGCTGGTATTGAACATGCAAATCAAGCTGAGTTATAACGAGCCACGAAAGGCCTTTATGAACTGATGTAAAGCCCCTTCTGAAATAATACTCTTCTAATAGGGATTTTTCCAACCTCTTGAGTCATGTCCTTCTCTCCTCTGGTAAAAAAAAAGAAAAAAAGGAAACAACAAACAAATGGACAAACAAACACAACATGGTCGGAAATCTCTGAATATTCTTCTAATGAAGAATTTTCCAAACTCAAGTGAAATGCTGACTACTGATAATGCTGAATTCTGGCAATCATGGTAAAATTCTCTTTCAACTCTGTGAAAATATGTAAATCCACAGTAACCACTTAGATTATTGTTTCTCAACTAAGGAACATAATTTACATTACTTATTAATAAAATATATATTTATATTTAATTACAATTTAATTTAATTTATAATAATCTTATATCTTTAGTCTTTAAATATTCATGGAAAACTGTAATATGCTAAGATTGTATTGTTAATGAAAAGTGACAGGGATCCTTTTTATATTCAAATGTATCTTTCAGCATTATTCTTTTCAAAGAGAAATAATAAAAGCAAGTGATTTTTAATGTGTAAAAATTTCATCCTGCACTCTCACATTTGTTAATCATGTTCACTCACCACTAGATAATTGTGGTTTCTCTTCTCACTATTATCAATATAATAGCTACCAGTCTGAAACTCAGACTAGCCTCCTAGGCAAATTCCTTTGAAATTCAAAATTAAAAAGTGAGTAAAAACTCAGTTGATTCTAGTATACAGGATTTTGCAGGGTGGGGAACTTGCAGCCTTAAGGCAAAATGTGACCTTCTCGGTCCTTAAGTGCTACATTTTGACTGAATCCTAATTTTGTAGAAGAAATGCTTTTTTAAAAAGGGGTCCAGCAGAGAAAGATGAAGCTTTTCTTACCTCCTTTGGTGCTTAAAAAAGAAGAATCTTGAAATCAGAAGGCTCCAGGTTCCCCACCGACACTGTACAGTTTCAAAGGTAATTTAGTAAATACATTATCTGAAAACATTCATGTCATGAACTGTTGACCACATTAAGGGTATTTGTGTGTGTATAAACAGTTAGATAAAATTAATCTCCAATTATATAACCATGATAGTTAATGTAAAGATTATTAACAATCTAAGTGTTAAATATTAGTTACTCACAATGCCCTTTTCTGAAAGTGGAACATTTTTCTGGTCTCCTTGTGGGTAGAGGCCATGAAGGTTTTATGCCCTCCGTTGTGTCTAATATAATTGCATGTGCACCATCAGTGGTGTGTTGGAGATGGAACAAAAAGGGTTTTCAGAGAGCTGATTCTGTGCATCTCTTCACAATTCCTCTTTCAAGAATGTTTCATGCTAATGCTTGAAATCCACTATGATGAGATTATGCAATGAAGATTGGTAAACATTACAAATCAGAGCTTTTTTCCTGTGTGTGGAAAGGCAAATTTTACCATTGCACCAAGAACAGTGGTAAATTAACAAAAACAGTATATTAAACAAATGTCTGAATGAATTTGTTTATTGTATAATGTCTATTATTAAAACAGTTTATATTCAAAATCTTTTGGTCTCTTAAAAAAGTACATAAAGATGGTGTTGGAAATAATTTGATGTGACCAACATATTTCATGAATTTTAAGTGACAACTGTTCTGATGATGAAAAATAATCTAAACTTTATATTTCTATATATGTAATAGCTTGGTATATTTACAATTCCAAAGCTTCATGAATAAATAAAATACATAAGCCATTTATTCTTTAGTATTCTTAAAAAATGAATTTTAAATGCCTGAAAAATCCAGTCTTAGTTCATGGAATGCTCATTTTGCATCTCAGAAATGTACATTTTATGAAGTGCAAGTCTAGGATAACAATAAAATATTTTCAATGTAATTTTTTAAATTTAGCAGTTTATATTTTAAAATGTGACATGAAACTCATGCAACATATTTCATTGTTTTATGACTACTTTTGAAATAGAATTTTTTTATCCTTAGAAAATAAACCTAGCTAGGTACATTTTAATGCTTTCAATATTAATGTATTGAAGGATCTTTGAAATCCTACTGCAGGCAACTTTTATTAAAGGGTCTCAATTACATTATTTTGTATTACAGCCAGAACCAAAGAAATTAATCTTCTTTTGGGTGAATATTATTGAACATCTAGTAGCTGTAATGTAATAACACCATTTTTAGAATATGAGGGCAAATTATAAATTATGACATCTTAATATAATATGAAAAAGAAAAAGTTTATATTTTCAGTTCTGTGAGTATGTTAAGTAGGTTTTCAAATGTTTTGATAAAAATCTTTTTTGATTTTGTCAGAGAAAAAGAACAGACTGTCATTTTTCTAATAGCAACTTGAATTTCCACATTCCTTAATTAATAATAATTCATCATTAAATAATTACTAAACATGTGAACTTTGGCTCTGCTGCTTACTACATACAATATGCTGAAGGAGTTATTTAAGCTCTCAGTTCCACATTTTCCTCAACAGTTACAGGAGAATAATAATAGCATAAACTTCATAAGGTTTCCATGATGACTAAATGAGAAAATATGTGTATTATATCTAGAATTATATCTGGCACATCAACTAGTGGGTACTAAATAAATGTTAGCTTTTAACTTTTTTTTCCTTCTTACTCTTTATTTCCTCATTTATTCTGTCCACATATATTGTGAAATGTGATAATCCTTATCATGAAAATTTGTATTGATGATGTGAAATATAATAAAGATTTAGAAGTATTTTCATTGTTAGAATAGAGAAATCCTACTAAGCATTAAGCAGCAATATTGTATTCACATGTCATTAATTGCTAGTATTTTCCACTCAGTTATATATACTCTGTATCTACCCAATCTTTTCTTTCCATTTTGAAGCACTTACCCAGCCACAGTGTTTGGCACTGGCTCTTCTATGGCTCCCATCAATAGGTTTGTAAAGTAATAATCTAGAAAGATATGTTGCTATAATTTAAATTAGTAATGATAAAAATATTCTGTAAGAAAGATAACTGCAGGGAAGTTGTTATAAACATGCTTCAGGTTTTTTTCTTTTTTTCCCACAAGAACCAGTATAAATAAAATATGATTTGTTTATGTTATGGTTTATTGTCTTTTTTTCTCTACACTAAATTTGTAAGAATAAATGTTAAATAATGGCAGCTTTTAAATGAGAAAAAGCTTACTTATATTGCAAACCAGTACAACCTCTGTGGAAAGCAATATGGAGATACCTCAAAGAGATACAAGTAGGACTACCATTTGATCCAGCAATCCCATTACTGGGTACCTACCCAAGAGAACAAAAGATATTCTATAAAAAAGACATCTTCACTCGAATGTTTATAGCAGCACAATTCACAATTGCAAAGATGTGGAAACAACCCAAGTGCCCAGGAATGCATTAGTGGGTTACAAAATGTGGTATATGTATACCATGGGGTTCTACTCAGCCACAGAAAACAATGGTGATATAGCACCTCTTGTATTATCCTGGATAGAGCTGGAACTCGTTCTACTAAGTGAAGTATCACAAGAATGGAAAAACAAGCATCACATGTGCTCACCATCAAATTGATATTAACTGATTAACATTTAAGTGCACATATGGTAATAACATTCATCTGGTGTCTGGCAGGTGGTAGGGAGGGGATGGGTATATATACACCTAATAGGTGCAGTGCACGCTGTCTGGGGGATGGACATGCTTGAAGCTCTGACTCAGGTGGGGCAAGAGCAATACATGTGGCCTAAATATTTGTACCCCCATAATATGCTGAAATAAAAAAATTAAAAAAAATAAAGTAACATAAACAGAAAAAAAATTAAATAAATACACTACTAAGTTAAAATAAAAATAAATATTTGAACCACTTAAAGATTGAATAAAATCAGTAGCTTTGCATCATAATTTCAATTCCATTTTCTCATTCCCTTTGATAGGGAATATTGTGTGACTAAGACACTACAGACAAATGGAAGGGTGAGAACTCAGGAGAACAGGAAGTAAAAGTTAGAATCATGAAAGTAAAATTGATGAGGGTAATCAGTTCACTGAAAATTATCTAAAGAAACAAATTTCGCCCTCCATTAGCTTTATTACACACAGACAGAGGTGATGCAAGATGCTGACTTCTTTCTCTTTTCCTTGCTGTATTCCAGGAGCATTGTTAGTTTACAGCACTTTCATGCACTAGCAAATTTTACCTGCTAACTTTCATAAGGAATTCAACCACAAGACACTCAGAATATATATTTAGAATAATAAACATGATTAGTAAGATCAGAAAAATAATGAAGAGGAGTCAAATATGATTGCCTCTGCTCTTCCAAATCATCCTGTTGATTGAACATTAAGAGAAACTTATTATGTTTAAATTGAAAGCATGAACAAATACATTTGATTAATTCTGTTGTTTAATAATTTAGCTGTAAAGTATTACATCCATTTGAGTTTGGATATTTAAGATTAGTGTAGTGGACATTGTGGTCTTTTAATATTTTATTATTAGAGTACTCTTAAGTTTGTAGTCACTATAGCATTTGAGTTTACATAGAGTAGTTGACATATAAACATTATTGCTATCTCACATTGTTAAGGGAAGATATAAAGAGTCTTTCAATAAATAAAATAGTCTAAAATAATATTTAAGTATTAAAAATATGAAAAATTTATTGTAAGAAGGAATAATTTTTCACTGCTATGTAAATGGAATAACTCAAAATCCCATTTGCTCCCATCAATTATATATTTTACAGCAATAAATAATGTATTACTAAATTAATCCAGATCTGCAAATGAAAAGTCTGTTTGCTCTTTGATGCCTATTTTCAGATTATTGAGAATGTTCTGGCTGTTTGGTGAACATAGAAGTTTTCTGGTGAATTAAGAAATGGAAATTAGAAATATATGATTAGAATTATTTTATATGTAAATACTAAATTTCCCCTGAAGATAAAACCTGTAGAACATAGACTATCACTGTTTCTTGGAAATTGTAAGGCAAGAAACATTGACTATGTACTTGTACCCCAACACAATGCCAATTTAAGGAAAAATTACACATTTCATGTGATTTTCAATAAAGAAAAACAAGTTTCACAAGGTTTACAATAATACTCTTCAATATGAGATAAATCTTACTTTATATGAAAGAAAACATCTGGATGTCAAGTGTTAGATTTATTTTATTTTTTTAATTTTTTTAAAGGATATTTGAAGTTTTGAGATTTCTTGCTTTGTGATTATTTTCCACTTACTAGTCTTCCTATGGAAAGTCAATTCCTATTGACACCAAAACCTGACCAGTGGTGGGAGAAATGTCTCTGGTATATCTTCATAGATACTTCATTGAGATGATAGATTTATGCCCATTAATATAACTGTTATAAATGCTTAAAACATAATTCTAATGTTTTCCAGAAACTGACTTAGAGAAGAAGCTGTTTAACAAGAGTTTTTTTGTGTGTGTGTATGTGTACCTATTTTAATAGGTATGTTTCTTCATGGAAGCTTTTATTTATTTATTTTTCCCCAGAACCCCCCTTCATGGAAACTTTTAAAGTCCAATAGAAAATGTTGTACTGAATCTATAGCCAATAGACTCTAATAATATATTGCTTGATTGATTTTATATTTGTTTTATATATACATAACATCTTGAAGCTATTACAAATAATTGATATCTTTACAAATATAAGGGATAAGCTATAAATTACAATATGCATACAGATTGTTATGATCGTGATGGTTATGTCATTATATGACAATTTTATAAGGAATATATTTAAAACTAAATATATCTTCATGTTACTTGTGATTATAAGAAGCTTAGTGGAATTCCTTAATGTCACCTAACTTCTCTAAAGCCTACCTTCTGACTTCCTCATTGTAAATTGGAGATGTCAATGTTGATTTGTTATTCTAAAATGCAATTGTGAGAAAGAAATTAGAGAATATGTCTATGTGCAATTCTCATACAAATGTAAGGAGGCATGATTTTCATCATCTCTATTTTAAGTGATCAGAAGAAGTAACATTTAAAAGGCCTAGTAATTTTTTGAGATTCTCACTATTAGGCTGACTTTAGGAGATTAGTTTTTATATTTTTTATAGTGTATTAATTCTTACTTTGTATTTAAAAGTTCTATTTTTAGCTTCATTAATTGCTTCAAATATTTTCCTTGAGTTTCTGCTCTCTATATTTTTAACTTCTTGGATTACATATTTGGGTTATTAAGT